CTGTCACCCCCACGGGCGGCACGGGGGACACGGGGCTGTCACCCCCACGGGCGGCACGGGGGACACGGGGCTGTCACCCCCAGGGATGGCACGGGGGGCACGGGGGACACCGGGCTGTCACGGCACGGGTGGCACGGGGGACACGGGGCTGTCACCCCCACGGGTGGCACAGGCGTGGGCAGAGCTGTCACCCTGTGCTGGGTGTGTTGTAGGGGACAGGGTTGTCACCCCACGGTGGCACAGCAGGGACAGGATGGTTCTCCCCTGGCTGGTGTAGGGGTGGGGACAGCGCTGTCACCTGCACAGGGGCACAGGGACTGGCTGTGGGTGAAGCTGGGGGCAGCTCCGGCTCTCACCACGGGGTGTGCAGCTCCCCCAGACCCGACCCCTGTCCAGGAGGTGCTGTCACAGCTTGTCCCCACGTCCCCTGTGATCCCTGATCCCCAGCAGTGACAGCCACCCCCAGCCATCCCCTGTGAGCCCCATTTCTGCCCCCTCTGGTCCTGCCTGGCCTCTGTCCTTGCAAGGGGCTGTTTTGCAAAAGCCAGGGAAATTTTGGAGGGTGTTTAAAGCAGATTTTGCCTTCAAGCAGAGACAACTGGTGTTGTGGAGCAAGGAAAGGGGGCCCAGCCCTGAACCCACAGGTTCCAGGCTGGATGCTGACCACATCCCAGTGGTGGTGATTCCATTAACAGCTGCTAGCATTTGTCCAGTTCCACTCCAAAATGAGCCTCTGACACCAGTTAAAACCAGAGCAAGGAACGTTTTGGTGACAAGGAAAGATTTCCTTAGAGCTGTGAAGGTGCACCAGTGCTGCATCCTGCAAACTTGGCTTTGATGGAGCCTCATCCCAGTGAGACCTGTCCAGCATGGGGAGAGGGGGGCCCAAGTCCTGACTGTGCTGGAGAGCACCTGTTCACCCTCTATGAAAATAGAATGTGAACATGAATCCCCCTGCAATGGGAGCCCCAAAATCTGCAAATGTGAATAAAGTCACTCCCCAGGCGTGGGGAAGAATCAAATATTTAATTACACCCTTGTTTTATTGTAGAGATGAGATACACCCAAGGACTCTCTCTGTTTTCCTTTGATCTTTTCTCACACCAACAAGGGTTTTCCCCCAGCTGGGTAATGATCTTTAGGATGCTTCAGCCTAAAAGGACCCCATGGAAGCAGCCAGTTCCCACAGAACAGCCTCACTAATCCCTGCATACCCTGGGATTTGGAGAGCACCTCAGGGCTGCAGCATTCCTTCCCCACACCAGGACCCTGGGCAAACTTCACCCTCTTATTTTACATATTAAGAATAATAAAAACATAGGAGTAATTTTCTTTTTCCCTACCCTCAGCTCGATGAAAGAGTTGAAACCACCAAGCCCAGTGGCCATGAGAGAGGGTTGGCTAAGGACCTGGATGGTTTCCTTCCTCCATGAGCTTCCCTGTGAGGAGATGGTCCAAGTTTTCCCCCAGGGATTTTGTGTTGAGGGTTGTATCTGGCTGGGGGCAGCCAGGATGGGAGCAGCCCTGCCCTGTGACCTCCCCAGAGCTGCTCTCCTCACACGCCCTCTCCAGTCCTGGGAAAGCAGCCACGGGATCCAGGGATGGGAGGCTCTTGAGAAACAGCCAAAGCAACAACAGCAGAAGGGTCCTTGCTTGAGGAACAGGAAAAAAAACATCCAAAGGAGCCCAAATGAGCTGCATTATATTATTTTCTCTTTTTTTTTTTGTTTAATTTTTAACCCATCTGCTGGCTCTGGAGAAACCAGCTGGAGGTGGATGTGGCACTGGCAGGGTGCTGGTGGTGCCACAAAGGCACAGAGCATCTCTTTCCTTGGCACACTGCTGAAGGGACTTCCCCCAAAAGCAGCACAGTGACATCCAAAGCCAAGCACCCAGAGTGGCCCTGCAAGGCTGGAGCAGCCCTGCAGCCCCCTGGGCCAGCCCCCAGTAGCCAGGGACCCTCAGTGCCCCAGCAGCATCCACAGCAGCCCCAGGATCAGAGCTCTGGCTGTCAGGCTGGGCTTGCCCTGTTCCTCTGGCTGGGGATATGCAGAGGGACACCCCACCTGTGTGCCAGCACAGGAGGAAGGGGACAGCTGTGTGACCCCCATTGCTGGAGCCCAAAGGGTCCCACAAAACGCTGTGGGAGCTGGGAAATGTCCCAGGGGTCCTGAGCCCTCAGCAACCCCCTGGCTGAGGGTCTGGCATTGTGACCCCACACCTCCTGCCTACCTGAGACTGAGATAAACCAGGACTAACTTTGTCCCTAGCCTTGTACCTGCACTGGGATTTATTGCACAAGATTCCAATTCCTGCTGCTGGCTGGAATGGGCCCAACGAGGATCTTCCGACCCCTCCCCAGCAGCGGGAGGGGGCTGAGCTGTGAGCAGGCTGTGGGATGAAGTTCTCAGCTCTGGGAGCACCAATCGCTGCTGCATTAGCGGCTCTTTTGTCCGGCCAGGAGCTGCGGAGCTGCCCTTCGGTGGTGCCGCTCGCTCGTTTTCCTGCCAGCTGCTGTGTGCTTGGATGTTCTCCGGTATTTAGCTTGATCCTATTAAGGTGGATCTCAATTAATTAGGCAGGAGGCAGAGAGACAAAGAGGGAGGCCGGGGCCATTCGTTGTAGCCTTGTCATCGCGCCCTGTGCCACCGGCAGGCACGGGGACACGGGCAGGGACGGCTGAGGCTGCTGGGCACCAAAGTGCTGTGGGATGGCAACGGAGCAGGCAGCTGGGGTGGCACTGGGGTCACCCCACGGCTCAGGGATGCCAGGCAGGCTGACACCCCACAGGAAGGCAGCTGGAGCCACTCAGCTCTTATCCCCTGGGGCAGGGGGGTCTGGCTCTGTCCCAGCGATGCTGAGACCCTGCAGCATCCCATAAACACAGGGGACTCAGCGGTGTGAGCCTTGCCACAGCACAGGCATCCCCCTTCCATGCAGGTGACACCGGCTGGGTGCTGCTGTCACAGCCCTGGGATGCAGGGATGGGATCCCCCGGGCTCCCCAGCACCCCTGGGCTCCCCAGCACCCCCACAGCAGGAGAACACAGCCCTGGGATGCAGGAATGGCATTTCCTGGGCTCCCCAGCACCCCTGGGCTCCCCAGCACCCCCACAGCAGAGGGAGCACAGCCCTGGGATGCAGGGATGGGATCCTGTAGGAGTGTTGGGGGGTAGGACGATGGGGACGGGCAGAGACCAGAGATCTCTGCAGCCAGGTCGTGGAATTTGGGGTTCATTGCAAAGGGCCTGGGTGCAGGGCCCTGCTGGAGCTGCCAGCCACAGCTCAGAGCAGGCCCCAGAGAAGAGAGGGGGAGAGAGGATGAGAGGGTGAGAGAGTAAAAGGGTAAGAGAGTGAGGTTCCCATTACAATACAATAAATCTTCTTTTGTGTTGAATATTCTGATTCTCAATAACCAATCTAGTACAATATACAAATCCTATAGCATTTACATACAGCCTATAAGAATCATTACATTACCATACTGTGTTGCATTTTACACCCTCAAAACTCCTCTTTGGACCCCTTCTGCCAAGCTGGCAGGGTCTGCTCTGACCCTTGGACCTGCCTGCAAGCAGAGGGAATTGTTTAATGAAAAGGGGATCACCTTCAGTCAGACACACCATTGTTTTCCTGTTGTTCAGTAACTAAGGGATCTCAAAGCTTGCTTTCATTTCAATCTCACTTATAGTTTCTATATTCTCACAATCTCTTGCCAGACAATTATATTTATAAGGCTTTCCTGTTTCATCTTCCCCAACAGGATCCCCCGGGCTCCCCAGCACCCCTGGGTCCAGCTGCCCCACAGCAGAACACATCCCTGGGATGCAGGGATGGGATTTCCTGGGCTCCCCAGCACCCCCACAGCAGAGGGAGCACAGCTCTGGGATGCAGGGATGGATGGGATCCCCCAGGCTCCCCAGCCCCCCGGTCCGAGCTCCCTGCCCCTCTCCAGCTCCTGCTCCCACGCCTGCTGCTGGAGTGGCTCCGAGAGCCCTGCGTGGGCTCAGCCCCGGCGAGAGGCCGGCAAATGGATCTCAAGGGCTGCCTGACATTCCTGCTTCCCTGCCTTTGAAGGAGAAGAGCCCCTCAGAGCTGCCCTCAGCGCTAATGCACGGGGCGGAGGTGTGCTGGTAAAAGCCAAGGCTGGCAAAAGGCTTTCAAACCCTTGGGGAGGCCCGAGAGGTGCCCGGGGGTGACCCCAGGCTGTGCTGTCGCTGTTGGGGTGTACCCCAAAATGCTGGAGGGAGCTCCAGTCCCCGTGCTGGGAGTGATGGGGCTGTGCCAGACCCTTCCTGGGGACGGAGGAGATGCTCCAGGCATGAAGGGGTTCAGGGGGTTCAGGGGGCAGGGAGGGGGTGAAGGTGAGCATAGGGGGCTTGGGGATGGTTGGATGGGTTTGCAGAGAGTGCTGGGATGAGGTGGCCAGGGTGGAGGAGGGTGTGGGATGGATCTAGGGGGGTACAGGAGGGCAACAGAGGGGGCGGGGGGGGGCAGGGTGGGTGAAGGCAGTGCTGGAGGTGCAGGGAGTGCAGTGTGGGTACAGGGCGGGCAGGATGGATTTTGGGTTGCATGAGAGGCAGGATGGATTCTGGGGTTCAGGATGGGTGCAGGATGGGTTCTGGGGTGCAGGATGGATGCTGGGGTTCAGGGTGGGTGCTGGGGTGCAGGATGGGTTTTGGGGTTCTGTGGCTCAGGATGGGTGCAGGATGGGTTTTGGGGTGCAGAGGTGGCAGGGTGAGTGCTGGGGTGTCAGGATGGGTGCAGGATGGATTCAGGATAGGTTTTGGGGTGCTGGGTTCAGGATGGGTTTTGGGGTGCAGTGGGCTCAGGATGGGCGCGGGGGGGTGCCCGGTGCAGGGTCCTCCCCGCCGCCAGGGGGCGCGCCAGGGCGCTCGCAGCATTCTGGCCAGGCAGGCCCCATCTCGCTGGTGCGGGGGCCGGAAGCGGAAGTGCAGTGACGCCCTCCCACCGCTGTGCCGTGGCGGAAAGATGGCGGCGGCCATGGCATGAACGGGACCCGGCGCGGACCCAGCGGTGAGAGTGGCCGATACCTCTCCCCGGTTCTAAACCGGCGCGGAGACCACCGCGGCCCCCAGTTCCCCCTGTCCCTTTACCACTCGGGCCAGCGGGAGATCCCCAGTACCTTTGGCGGGGGGCCCCTCAGCTGCCCCCGGGCTTCCCTGGAGCTCAGTCTCTCCTCAGCCCGGGGGACTGGAGTTCCTCGCTTCCCTCTCGGCAGGTGGGCTCGGACACATCGCGGGTAATCCCTCCTGTGCCCCCTCGCCCCCAGCTCCCTCCGTTCTTTCCAAGCTGTGCCCTTTGCCTGCTGCTTGTCATGTGTGCATTTATCCCTGGCTTCCTGGGCTCCTTTCCCGGTGTATGGAGGCTCCCTTTATTCCCGTGATGTCCAGCTGTGCCTGTGCCCTTTCCTTGCTCTCTCCTTGTTCCCCACTGTGTCTCTGTTCAGCAGGCACGACTGCCATGGAGGTATTTCTGGACTGCCCTCCTCGGTGCCTTGCACTGAGATCTTTCTCCCAGTCCCTCCCCCTGCTCCCCGTGTCCTCCCGTATAATTCCCCCCTCCCTCTGTCCCTTTTAGCTAAGCCCCTCTGTTGGGTGCTGTGGGTCCATGTGAGCAGGTTCCCCATTCCCTGAATTCCACCCCGGTTCCAGGGCACGTGTACTGTCCCCGCAGGATGAAGATGAAGATGAAGTAGAGCTCTGACCATGGACCATGAGGCCCCCACCATCAGGCCCCGGCGCATCCAGAACCAGAACGTCATCCACCGCCTGGAGCGCCGCCGCATCAGCTCGGGCAAGGCGGGCACCCACTGGCACCAGGTGCGCGTCTTCCACCAGAACGTCTTCCCCAACTTCACCGTGGTCAACGTGGAGAAGCCGCCCTGCTTCCTGCGCAAGTTCTCCCCCGACGGCCGCTACTTCATCGCCTTCTCCTCGGACCAGACCTCGCTGGAGATCTACGAGTACCAGGGCTGCCAGGCGGCCGAGGACCTCCTGCAGGGCTACGAGGGGGAGATCCTGGCCAACGGCAACGACCAGAGGTCCGTCAACATCCGGGGCCGGCTCTTCGAGCGCTTCTTCGTGCTGCTGCACATCACCAACGTGGCCTCCAACGGGGAGCACCTGAACCGCGAGTGCAGCCTGTTCACCGACGACTGCCGCTACGTGATCGTGGGCTCGGCCGCCTACCTGCCCGAGGAGCCGCACCCGCCCTTCTTCGAGGTGTACCGCAACAGCGAGTCCGTGACGCCCAACCCGCGCTCCCCGCTCGAGGACTACTCCCTGCACATCATCGACCTGCACACGGGCCGGCTGTGCGACACGCGCGCCTTCAAGTGCGACAAGGTCATCCTGTCGCACAACCAGGGGCTGTACCTGTACAAGAACATCCTGGCCATCCTGTCCGTGCAGCAGCAGACCATTCACGTCTTCCAGGTGACGCCCGAGGGGACGTTCATCGACGTGAGGACCATCGGCCGCTTCTGCTACGAGGATGATCTGCTGACCCTGTCTGCCGTGTACCCCGAGGTGCAGCGGGACACGCAGACGGGAATGGCCAACCCCTACAAGGAGCCCTTCATCAACTCCCTGAAGCACAGGCTGCTGGTGTACCTGTGGAGAAGGGCCGAGCAGGATGGAAGTGCTATAGCCAAAAGAAGGTTCTTCCAGTACTTTGACCAGCTGAGGCAGCTCCGCATGTGGAAGATGCAGCTCTTGGATGAGAACCATCTGTTTATCAAATACACCAGTGAGGACGTGGTCACGCTGCGGGTGACAGATCCTTCCCAGGTACAGAATCACACAATGGTTTGGGGTTGGAAGGGGGCCTTAAATATTATCTAATTCCAGCTGCCCTGCTAGGGGTCCACTAGGCCAGGTGGCTCAGATACTGCCTCCCTCTTCAGGCTGCTCATTGCTTTGGGATAAGTGCTCAAGCATTACAATGCTGTGAGCTGTTCCTTAATGAGCCTGTAAAGGTTATTTAGGATCCCTAGTGCCTGAGTCTTTTCTGAAGCCTCTGATATTGAATAACTTCTGTGTCTTCTGTTTTCTTAATTTCTGCCTCCCTCTTCAGGCTGCTCATTGCTTTGAGACAAGTGCTCAAGCATTACAATGCTGTGAGCTGTTCCTTAATGAGCCTGTAAAGGTTGTTTAGGATCCCTAGTAGCTGAGTCTTTTTTGATGCCTCCGATATTGAATAACTTCTGTATCTTCTGCTTTCTTAGTTTCATTGCTTCCTTCCTTCTCACCTGCAAAATGAGAAAGATGTGATGTGTTAGCAAGTTCTTTTCTCCAAGGATTGTTCCACATACTCACAGATGCTGTTCAATCCCCTTTCCCTCCCCAAATCCCCAAATGAATTTAATTTTAGCTGATATTTTATATAGTCCATTTAAATTGTGGAGGTAGTCTCTCCCTTTTCTCATGTATCTTCAAGCATGTTTTTCAAATATAATAGTCTTCATTTTCCCTGGTACAATTACCATTTCTGTTCTGCCTACGTACTTAGTCTTTCAAGCTCCAGTAAGAGGTAGTATTTATGATCTCTCCAAATTGGAGTAGCAGCTTTTAGATCAGGCTAATGGGCCAATTGCTTCTCTTTTCAATTTATTACTAAAGAAGTGGAATTAGAGCAAATGTAGCTCAGTCAGTGCTGGGTCCCTCCAGATGTTTCACAACCCTACATGTTGATCATCTATTTTTACTGCTTTTAGAGTGGTTGGTCACGTTTTGAGCCCTGTGAAACTAAGAGATTTTTTTTAGCTAATTTTTATTCCTTTAAAAATGTTTTTATTCTGTTGAAAGTATTTAGCAAGAACTTGTGATAAATCTCCAATGCAGCATGTAGGTCTGATTGTTCCCCAGAGGTTTATTTTCTCTCATGCACTCCTCTTCTCCACATCTTTGCCAGGACTTAGGTCCTAGAAGAAACAAACAGTAGCTTTTTGTGTGTTGCATTTGTCAAGTTCTTCCTGGGAGATGTCTCTGTTTTGTTTTGTTTTGTTTTATTTTCCTCTTCTGTGGTGTTTGTTTGGGGGAGTTGCTTTGGGAGGAAATAGGTAAGGCTTTATCTAATCCATGTTGCCCATTGGTGTAAAGCTGAACGTCTGTCTCAGAAATATGAAGGCTCTGTGCAAGTGGCCTGCAGGGTTCTGCTCGTTGCTGGTGTCTGGAATGAGCTCCTGGCCCTGATGTAAATGTTTGTGGCTGGCTCAGCTCTGCACTCTGCTGTGGTTAGTAGGGTTTAGTGCCTGGTTTGCTGCAGGGAGCTCTGCACTCTCTTCCCCCAGGGTTACTTTAAGATGCAGTTTGTGGTTTGTTTGCAGTGTGCCTCAGGCGCTGGGTTTTGTGCTGGGGGAAGAAAAGTGCCTCATTTCTCGGTTCTTCCAGAGGTAATTCCAGATGTGGAGCAGTCTCCACAGACCTGTCTGAAGGTAGGCGTTGCGTTAGGGCTTCCTGAATAAAACTTGGCTCACAAAATAACTACAGCTCCCATTTTTCTTCAGTCTGTCAGACAAGGAACATGAGGTTTCATCCAATTTCAGGATCCTTTCTCCCCTCTGGCTTCTCTGCCAAGAAGGTTGAGGAGTTGCTGTTCATGGTTGTGGGTCGTGTGGTTTTTGTCTGGGTCTGCACTGTATTCTTTGAGATCTTCAAGAGTGTGCTCTGCATAGGTAGCTTGGAGGGGTTGTTGCTATTGTAGGCTTGTGTTGATAGGCTTGACAGCATTGCTGTGTGGTTTTTGTGGCACTCAGCTGCTGCCTCCCATGCTGTGATGATGTTTTGGTGGTGTTACAGGTGCTGCAAAAGCAGTGAGGGTTTCTTTGCTCAGGGACATCCTGTAGATGTGTCTCTATGTTAACCTGGCAAAGGAACTTTTTTTATTTAAAGTTGGAGGATACTCCCTGCAGTCTTCAGTGATTTAAATAGTTTTTCCTTCTGCTGTCCTCTCTTATTTTCTCTCTGCTCCAACCCTTAATTTCAGAAGGGCTTCCCTTTCCTCAGGCAGTAGTCTAGTGAGTAACCTCATCTTGTGTGTTTCGTTTGGACATGTAGGGGCTGGATTGTATTACCATAGTTTATTTTGGGGCTGTAAAACAAACAAACCTTTTGATATTTGCAGGTGGGTGGGGTGGGCAGAGTGCCTGCCATCATCCCTGAGCATTGTTTGGGAGCAGGAGGTGAAGCATTTAGGAATTGTCTCTATTGACAGAAGATTTTACCAGATGCCATGGGAATTAGTTCCCTTTGAAGAAGGGGACAGGTTCTTACTTTGGGGTGCCAGCACTCCTGTCTCTAATGAAAGCTGCTTTTTATGACCAAAAATTAAATATGCCCTTTCCCAGTGGGATGGGAATGTCATCTCCCTTTGCTGTAGCTGTGCTGACACAATGTCACCTTTTTTTCCTGATTTCTTGCTCATTTGTGCCAGGATTCATTGCCATTGCCAGTCCACAGCATGGTACAAGGGCCATCTTGCAGGAGGATGTCAGCATTAAGAAGTCATCAGTGTCTTTCAGATTTTCATTTCTGTGTTGGCAGAGTACCTGGAGGGCACAGCTTTTTGTGGGCAGTGATGTAGTGCACAGTAGCTAAAAAGGCTCATCTCTGTGTGATGCAGATATTAAGAAGGGGAAGAAACTAATATATCTATGCAGAGGTAAAAATAATTTAATGTCAGCTAGCATTGGATCTGAAGTAATTTTTTCAGCAGGAATGAAAATTAAATTCAGCACTTGAGTTAGTGTTTTGTGTTTGGTGGAGGAGAGAGAAGAAGAGAAAACAGTACGGTTTCATCTAGTTCGAGGTGAAAAATTGGAAGCCCATTAAGTTTTCTTAAATAATCACAGCTGAGAGGTGGATAATTGGGTACATGTTGAGGCATTCCAATAGGAGAATGGATTAGTGTGAGGATCTAGGATTCTCCTGTGCTGTGGAGAAGTTTGGATAGGGTTTGTGGTGTGATGTGGGGAGAAGGAAGGGACAGCTTCCCCACCTGTGCTCTCCTGGGTAACCTCTGCCTCTCTCCCCAGCCCTCGTTCTTCGTCGTGTACAACATGGTGACCACAGAGGTCATTGCCGTGTTTGAGAACACGTCTGATGAGCTGCTGGAGCTGTTTGAGAACTTCTGTGACCTCTTCAGGAATGCCACCCTGCACAGTGAGGCTGTCCAGTTCCCCTGCTCAGCTTCCAGCAACAACTTTGCGAGGCAGATCCAGCGCCGGTGAGCCATTCGGAGCATGCTTTATTCCGTATAGACACACGCTCAGCCCCGTCCGCTGAAGGCCAGTATCAAAACCAACCCTGAGAAAACCAGTTCCTTTGGCCCCCTCTGCCAGCTGGTGCAAGGGTCAGGACTACACATGGTTCATTCTTGCAGCCTGATGCATCTGATTTTATATTCCACAGCATTTACCTTTTTAGAGGAAGGAACAAAGCAGTTGCAAACTGCTGCTTAAAAGAAAGGAAGGGAATTTTGAAAGATGTTTCTGTCTCTCCTTGAGCAGTAACTCTTTTGGAGGTTATTAAAGTGTTACTGCCCAGTAACTTTGGTCCCTGAAGATAGGATTTGTCAAGATGCTGGCATGATCCAGTTGTGTGTATTTTGCCAAGTGACATTCTCTGAATTTAGCATGTACCAAACTGTGTCCTGTAGCATTTCCTCAACATCAGTCACCAGCTCGTGGTTATCATCACTGTACTAGGAGAAGGGAAACTCATCTGCTTAGATCTGTTGTGAAAGCTGAACAAAATACCAAAATAGCCTCGGTTTCTAGAGTATGCTTTAACAGTCATATATGGTTTTAATGAGGCAGAGTGTGTTATTTTTCTAGGAAAATTTTGTTGTGACTCAGGTGTTTTTCCTTCCAGTGACTTGTTTCTCATCATCCAAAGTACTTGCCATCCACTTATGGGCATCAAGCTTCTGTTGACTTTAGGCTGGTGTCACATAAGTCTGACGAAATTGACTATGTCTGTAACTTTCTAGAGCAGCCTGTCAGGAAATCCATAATGCTTAATAGGAGAGAGAATGAGAGGACTCACTGAAGACTCACGAAGAACAACTTCTGCCTTTTGTTAGAGTAGATAGGAGAGTATTTTCCCCCCCCTTGCTACAAGGGCCTGTAACAAGAGTGTTGTAACTTCTTCAGCAAAGTACCATAGAGCATAGTCCAGAGTGAGCTGGCTTCTGGCTGAGTGTTTACCCTCCTTATTGTCCTTGCAGCTGATGTGACTGTTTTTGCACATGTAAAGTTTCAAAGTTTTCTTGGAAAGAGAAATCCAGCCTGTGTTAATCTCTCCAGGAAGAACTTTCAGCTCACTGTAGTTTCTGTAGAGCTTTATGCTCCTCATCAAGGTTCTTCTTCATCTAAGGTATCTCCCTTTATGCATTTAGAACAATGGGTGGAGAGAGGAGGATTGTCAAGTCAATGTTAAGGGCTCAACTGTTACTGTGAAAGCCCCCTGGCTTTTGCTCATGCTGTTTCCAGGCTTTGTGGTAAAACTTGGATTGACTGATCAGCTGCTAATCTGTCTCTCCCTGTTTCTGATCCTGTTCATTTCCTGTACTGCAGAGCAGCTGGGTCCAGACGTTGTGGGTAGGCACATTCTTCTCCTTCTGTCACTCTGGACATTCTGAGTGAGACAGTAATGATAAGGGAGGATGAAAAGGTTAGCAGAACCGGTTGATGTTTGAATCACTGTGATACATCTTTGGAAACGAGCCGCTTTAGTTCTTACACTGCAGCTGTTTTCTCTCCCTGTCAGTTTTCCTGCTTAGTTTGTTTAAGATGTGCTGTTCAGCTGTGGCCTTTGTGAACAGAAGGTGTCTCTTGCTTTGCTGCAGGTTCAAAGACACGATTGTGAACGCCAAGTATGGAGGGCACACGGAGGCCGTGCGGCGGCTGCTGGGGCAGCTCCCCATCAGTGCCCAGTCCTACAGCGGCAGCCCCTACCTCGACCTGTCCCTCTTCAGCTATGATGACAAGTGGGTGTCAGTCATGGAGCGGCCCAAGACCTGTGGTGATCACCCCATAAGGTATGGGGAGCTGTATGTAAGGAGAGAGCTGCTGTAAAAATCACCTCTGCCATGGGGCATCAAGTGTGCAGAATAGGGAGTAGATGGAAGCCTTTCTCTTAGGAAATCCTTTCACCAGGGGATGTATTTCACAAAACTTGGCCTCTCTTCTTTACAGTAATGTGGATGTGTGGGAGGGCTCTTCATGTTTCCTCGCTGAGCTGCTCTGCTCTGGGGAGGGTTTGGGTGGTGAAGTCTCAGCCTTTTCCATATGAATGGTCTTGTTCCTCCTCCTCTTCTTGCAGTGCTGCCGTAGTGTTTGGGTTGCAGAGTGATACAGCTCTGATGTCTGCTTTCCTATGCTGGAGGATCCTCTCTGAGCATGTGGGTTTAGTTGGCAAGGATTGTCTGGTTTGTCCTGTGAATAAAATAGTATCTGGGCTAGGTGTTACTCAGAAAGCTTGTGGTATTGATTGAGCTGTTTTCAGACTTCCCTTGTTTACTGTTCTCACCATGGGAGCTGTACTCCTTGTCATACTCCCTTCTCTCTGTGATCTGTAGGAAATTTCTGTCTGTAGTAGGAATTTTAGCCAGGTGCCAGGGCCATTCTGTGCCTCTTCTGTCTGAGTCTCCAATGCTGGCAGAGGGAGTAAGTCTGAGCTTGAGAATAAGGAGGTTTGCAATGCTTCTTAAAGAAATATCAGGACTATTTATTTCTTTTTGTTGGCTGCAGCCATGGCTGCAAGAGGTAGTGGTTAAAAATCCGACGTCTCCAGCTTGACAGGCTCAAAGAGCCTGAGTTACCCAGGCAGAATAGTATTTCTGCTCCTAGTACTGCAGAAGCAAACCTATATTCTGAAAACAAAGAGAGCCTTCAGTGCCTGAGTGCTTTGTTTAGTGACTGCACACATGTTGGGGGCTCAGGCAGCCTAGGGAGATCATTCTGGACCGCTTCCCAACTTTATTTTCATCAATGCATGCTCAAAAAGTGGTTTCATATCTCCCCTGGCCCTGACTCAGGTGGCGGGGAACTTCTGATTATTCCTGCGCTCTCAATTCCCAAATTATGTATATTTAATTGATTCTTCTGCCTGTATGATTTAGTTTGATCTCCAGCTTCCATGTTATCTGCAAAGAAAGCCTGCCCTTTTCCCCCTTGTCATGCTTGATGTTGGGGAAACTTGCAGGGTGGCAGTTGTCTGCCAGCGCCAACCTGCGCCGGGCTCCCGCGGACAAAAGGCAGCAGAACCGCAGTCATGTGCTGCGGTGGAGTCTTTGTAGTAAACAAAGCCAAGTGCCACCTTCCCTCCCTCCCCTGAGCAAACCAGCGTTTCAGAGCCAGAGCTTTTAAAGCTCAAAGCTGTGCAGAGTCAATTAGGACTTGAATAGAGCCTCGGAGCAGTGGGGCTCCTGGTTTTTTGGAAAGTAAGCAGAAGATGAGGCGCTAACCTTAACCATTCAGTAGCTGAAATAGTGCTGCTGTGGTTCTCACATGCAAAACAAAGGGAGTAATAAAATAATGCCAGCTGCCTGTTGGGGTTAGAGGGCTTGGAAATGAGGGACCACAGGATTTGTAATGTAAGTCCTGTAATTGTCTGGAATGGAAAACCCTTCAGTAGCTAAGGTTGTTATAATCTGTGTGCAGTTTCCTCGCACGATGTGTGAGCTAGGAAGGCTTCCAGACCTTTTCCACATCAATTCAATATTTCTGTGCACTGCGTTCTTTTAACCCTTAGTGCTTGTCTGCATCCCAGAAGGTTCAATTCTGCCTACTTAAGAGACCAGTGGTTGTTTGCTGTCAGGTGGGAAGGACTTTAGGTTCCCCATCACCACCGCCTTCCAGTCTCTTTTCAGGAGGCCTGAAGAGATATTCAGTGGGTGAAATGATGGCACTTGAGGGAAGAGGCTCTAACACAGCTCTACCTATAGCAGGGGGTCTCTAAAATCCATCTAGATGGCTAATAAGGAGCCATTTAACCAAAGAATTGGTCTGCAGATAAATCTTCCATTTTCCTACGGTTTGAAAAGGCTGGTCTTGCTGTTTCTGTTGACATACAATTTTATATTGCAGTGCCTAATTTATCCCCAGAATGAGAGCCCATGGAAATGGCCTCTGATTGCAGAGCACTTTTAAAAATACATTTAAAAATACCAAACTGAGCACATCTTTTAAGATTACAGGGAGCTTCATCTTCAGTAGTAAATTGTTGTGAATTGGGGGAGAGAGGAACAGATGGGGGACTGTGCTTTATTTAAAGAATGACCCTCTGCATACCCAGCCTTGTGTAGGAGGGAAAGGGCTTTTTGAAAAACCAAATACCAAGATTGTGACTCTCTTGCTGGGTTCTTGTGTGCAATTTTCAGGCAGGGCTGGCTGGCACTTTGATTCAGAGGAAGGGAGAGGAGAGTGGCCCTCCAGGAAGAACATGAGGTTCTCAATAGGCTGTGTTGTTAAAATGTGGAGTATGTCTGCTCCTGAAACAGCATTGCTGGTATATGTCATCATCCGTTCTTCCAGGCTGAGAGCTGAGTGCATTGTATTGCTGGCGGGGGGGAGATGTGCTCAGACATTAAAAGCATTCTTGGAGTTAAAATTGGAGGAAAATGCAAAATACCCGCATGCACTAAGTGTTGGTGGAGAAGAAAACAGCTGGGAGGCATAATGGCAATTCCGTGCCTGAAGCTGGAAGAGGTCTAATGAAAATGGTCTAACAAACAGAGGCAACTTCAAGGGGAGGACTTGAGTTAGAGCCCAGCCACTTGGTGAAGGTACCACGTCCAGAAACCTCCACCCCTACATCCCAGAAGCCTTCTCCAAAGTCTAGGGGAGGGTGGGATCCTCACAGAGGGTCCTGTGTTCTGACAGCAGCAGAGGACACTGGTGTTGCCTGGGCTTATGTCAGTTACACAGAATGTGCAGGGGAGGTTCAAGAAGCAAAGAGCTTCCCTGGACTCACCTGTCTCTTCAGAGCTGTTTGTCTCATCCCCCTGAACATGTTCCCTCTGTGCTCGAGCTGTGTTCCAGAGCTCACCTGTTTGGAGATGCGTATCACCCACACAGGCAGGTGTGTGGGTGACAGCAGAAGGTCATAAGGTTTTCCTTGACCTCTGTCCTTGCTGTGGTTATTGAATCCGATTCATCAGGTACCTCCTGCACAGCCTATCTCATTAATGCTTTATTGGTGGCAATCTAAAAGGAATTGCAAAGCCTTGCTTAAGCTGTACGCTACAACATGGCTCCCTTGAGCAGGATTGCAGTGACTTCCTTGACTGAACAGGTACAAGGACAGCAGTGTAAAGCCTTCACTGGCAGTACTGTGAAGAGGAAGGGAAGGGGTGGCCTGACACTCTCAGTGAAGGCCATTGTTAAGGGAAGGGAGCTCAGTTCTGTACAGTATATCTGCCTTGGGGATCAAGGGAGCAGCTTGCATTAAGAGAGGATGGAGAGCCAGCACAGGTGGGGCCTGAACCAAACTGACTCTCTCTTGTGAAGTCAGCTTTGTCCATCAAAGTGACAGGCAGAGTTCTCTCATCGCTAATAATAAAAGTGATGTTTTTCTAGACAGTGGAAAACAACTGCCCTGAGAGGGACTTCCCTGCGAAGCCAAGAGCCAGGCACCCAGCTAAGGACCTTCTGCTCCTCAGGGAGCACCAGCGCTCGAACGAGGCACTTGTCTCTGCATGCAAAGAGCCCAGATGGCAAAGTCAATAGCGGGGAACAGCCATAATTGACTTTCTCTTCCTTTCAGATTTTACGCCCGTGACTCTGGCCTGCTGAAGTTTGAGATCCAGGCGGGGCTCCTGGGGCGCCCCATCAATCACACGGTGCGGCGCCTGGTGGCCTTCACCTTCCACCCCTTCGAGCCCTTCGCCATCTCGGTGCAGCGCACCAACGCCGAGTACGTGGTGAACTTCCACATGAGGCACAGCTGCACCTAGAGGGACTCGGGGTGCTCTCCTTGGTGCTGGGCCTCTGCCACTGGTGCACCAAAGCCAGGCACTCACACCTTCTGGGAAACCAAACCGTCACTCATGGAAAGAAGCCTCACATGGCAGCTCCTACCAGCGGCATCTCGCGGGGCTCTCAGCCGTGGATCAGCTGATGCACCCCAGTTATGGGAGTGGGGGGGCTTCTTCTGACCCTGTTTGTGCTGCAGAGATCCCCCTGCTGTCCTTCCCTGCTCCTGTTGATGAACAAAGTGTAGCTGAGGTTCCTTTCCTCTGTTTTCTATCCTGCTGTGGGTCTTAGGATGGCAGAGGTGGAGCTTTGCATCACGCTTGTGGAGCACTCCCTTCTGCACTGGTGCTCTCCTATCGTGTTGGACAAATGACCTGGCACAGAGGGAAGGGATGGGAGCCACGGGGAGGGCTTGGATCCAGCTACCCCTGTTTGTGTCTTCAGAATTGCTAGGGAAATGAGATCCTGCTGTCATCCACACAATCTACTCATGTCATTTTAATATGCAAGAGGTCAGGAAAAAAAAGGTGTGAGAAATCACTACAGTTGAGAGACATGAGGTGTGTTCCTGACCCTTATGCAAGTCACTTAATCTTTGTGCCTTAGTAAAAGCTCCTAAGTGAGCACTAAGTGAGTGGTGGTGTTACAGCAGCAGGCCAGGGCAGCTGGTTGTGTCTGTAATGCATGAGGAGGTGCATGCAGGAGGAAGATGGGTGTCTGGGAAGGGTGTGGGGAGCAACAGCAGCTCCTTGGTGATGTCAGAAGGACTCTCCTGTAGCATGGGGGTTAATCCTCATGGCCATCTGCAGGTTCTGCTGCTGAGAAGAGGGACACCCAGCTGCTGGCACCCTCCTATGTGTTGGAGTACCAGCATAGAAAATGAGTAGGATTTGCCCAGGAAGAGGGGTGGAGACCTGAATTCGTGTTCACTGCTGTGGGTGGGCAGTCTGGAGATGAACTTGTTGACTTAGGTTGCTTACCTCTGTCTGTTTGATACACTGTTCTCTGTGAGAACCCAGATGCTGTTTCCAGGCTTCAGAGCACAGCTGGCCAGTATGGCAGTGTTGGCTGGACCATGGCAGTGTTTGTGCTGCTGATAAATTAAGCTCCTGTGTGTAATTACCTGCCACTGTGGGCTGGTGAGGATGCTGGCCTACCCTTCTCCCTTAAAAATGGAGTTCTTGGTTGTAGGCCAGCATTTGGGGGTTGTTACACGAGGGCTGGTTTATGACTGCTGCCAGGCAGCACAACTATCCCAGCATCATGATGTGCTCCATATCAGAAGCTGCAGCCTGTTCTTGTCCCATTCCTTTAGGAGGTACAGTGGGGGCAATAGAAAATTGGTGCTAATACACAGGAGACCCTCTCCATTAAAGGACCCTGTGGGTGTCTAAATTGGACCAAAATGAGCTGTGGGTGACGTGTTGTGGCCACATGCCTGTGAAGAGGATTGTTGGAGTCATGCATTAATTTTTGCTGGTGATGCACTGGAGAAGAGCTGTGTGGGTGGGGTGCCTGCTCATGGTATGAGTGGTGGACCTCAAAGTTAAGGGTGTCCTGAGGTCCTTGAGTCAGCCTTCGCTCTCTGCCTCACTGTACTTCTCTCCTGGCCTTGCTAAAGATTATTTCTAGGCAAGACATTGCATTTCACTGCTCTTTTCCTGGTGTTTGCACTGTTGGTGTCTCAGGTCTGTCAGGAGTGCCGGCGGGTCAGGAGACTGCTAACAGAGGAGGTGTCAGTGCTTTAGCTGCAGTTCCTCTCGTCTAATAACACTATTTGTCAAGGTTTTAGGGTTTTATCCTGTGATCTGTTCCTCAAACATTCAATTAAAGCTCCAAGTGGAGAATCGTTTGCACACTGTAGATCATGGATTTACCTCCCTCTGCACCACTCTCACAGCTGTTCGCACTTCAGTATGAGACTTTTTTTCCCCCCCCTAAGCTTCCAGCTGCTCCATCTGAGACTCTGTTTACTCCTCGGTGTCACAGCCTCAGGAAGTCAGTGCTTACTAAATTAGCTGTCAGATCTCCATTGAGACTCTTTTTTCAGTGGCAAAAATATAAACTTCAGCATTTCTGTAGTAGGGGCTTTTGCCAAATTCAGGCTTCCCTATGTGAAGCAGAGAGTGTGGCATGGATTGTTGGACTTGGGGCTGAGAAAGAGATCTGTTCTTAGCTCTGCTATTAAATTCTGAGGCTGGGGGCAAATCTCTTCCTTCTCCAGCTGGTGTTTTCTTCTCCGTAAATGAGGCCAAAAACATATTTTCAGCTTTTATAAAACACTTTGAGATTCATGGATAAAAAGTGCTGGATAAGTGCTAAGTATTTTCTTATTATGTTTGCAGACAAACTGATCATACTGGGTACTAATTGCCTTGGAGTAGCATAGCAGATCCTGTGGTCTTGGCTGCTGCATTTTATATCAACAACAGAGTTAATTTTGTTACAGAAATGTATGGAAAGAAAAGTCTCTCATGCTTGAAATTTTGATGCTTTTATTTAAGAAACAAAAAGTGTGTGTGGTGGGGAGGGTGGGAGAAAAGGGGAGATATTTTCTATCTGATATTTTTCCTAGGTTAGGGCAAAGATTTGTTAGCAACTCAAGACAAAAACAGAATAAACAGAATTTGCTTTAAAAGTCTGATTTATTGTCTTTGTCTTCCAAAAATCTGAATGATATAGATGGGAATTCCTTCGCTAAGAAGAGATGGCAGGGCCTTGGACTGTGCAGACATATCCCATGGGAGCTTGCTGCCTCTTCTGGCACTTGGAGTACAAGTGTCCTTAAGAATGTTCCCACCTGAGGCATTTCTGTCATTTCTGCAGATTTTTCAAATTCTTGTCTACATGAACTAATGCTGGGAGAGGAATTCTTGGTTACATTTTTCCCTTTGCATATTATTACTAGCCCAGCTTGTACTCAGGGACTCTTCGTTTATTCCATTTTCAGCATTTATCTAATCTTTTGGACATTTTCTTCATGATCAAGGGATGAAAGCTTGTTGTGGTCTAACCCCAGCTGGCAGCTCAGCCCCACAGAGCCACTTGCTCACTCCCTCACTGGTGAGAAAAGTGAGAAGACTTGTGGGTTGAGATAAACACTGATTAATGGGTAAAGCAAAAGCCACATGCAAGCAAAGCAAAACAAGGAATTAATTCCCACTTCACATGGTCTGGCAGGTGTTTAGCCATCTCCAGGAAAGCAGGGGTCCATCCTCTGTAGCTGCCCCAGCCAAACCAGCACAAAACTGAACACACCTTGCTTGGCAGGACAGCCTGTCCGCTGCTTTGGGATTGTGCTGAGGCACTCAGATTTTCGAGCTGCTGCTCCCTGCCTCTTTGCAGAACGGTCTGGCTGAGAACTCTGCAGCATCCCTGTTTGTGTTAGTTCCTCTAACCATCTGCATCTTGAGCATGAAAGTATTTTCCTTTGAACCTTTCCTCCATTTCTCTGATGCTTTCCTGTGCAGACCTTGAGCACACCAGAAAGCTCTTGAGCCCGTGGCTTTTCAGATAGGCACTAAGTGAGGAGGAGATGCTTGAGCTGGAAACTGTGTTTGACTGGCAGCAAAATCCCATCTTTTGTTACTTCTTCTGTTGCCTTTGCTTTAAGAAAATAAAAGTAGTGAACGCAGGACAGCTGCATTATTTCTTGTATAAAAGGCATTAGACAGCAAGGCACAGAAATCCCATTAGAATCAAATGTATGGATAGGTTTAAGATGTGTCCCTACTAAAGACTCCTATCAATTTACCTTCCAGTGCTCATGGCTGGCCCTGATTTAGCTGCCTTACCTGAAAGGACCTTCCTTTTGCTCAGGTGCTGCATCTATTAAGCTCTTCCCTTGGTCATTTTGACCCAGCTAGAAGAATCAGATTTCTGATGCTTTAAGAAATCCCTTTGTTTTTCTTCTTTATAATCTGTCTTGCTGCTTTTCTGCCAGCTTTTCCTGCAAGGATCTCTCGGGGCTGTGGGCAGAGAGATGGTGAAGGCATAGCAATGAGATATGTGGCCCCCTCACAGCTGTTGTCCTTCTGGGAGCCTTTATCAGATAGGTACATGCTGCAGAGCAAATGGATGTCCTATGGACAATTGAAGGATTTTGTGGGTTTATTTCATCCTTGCTATGCAAGTTTCAGAGTCTGTGTCCTTGATGTGCCTCAATCTTGTGCTTCCTTGAATTATTACATGGTTATAAAAGCTTTTCTGGTAAAATAATCCATAAAAATACTACAGTTTTAAACTAGCAACGTGGAAACTGCTAATTCATGGCCGGCTGCTGTGGTCTTGTATGTGAAGAGAACTGGAAAGTGACACATTGCCCTTGGTTCCTGCTACTCAAGGCTGTGCTGCAGCATCTGGGTAATGTCTGGGTCCTCACTTGACTAATGAGTTGAGGACAGTTATGGAGGAATGTGCTGGGATGGCTCATGGATGCCCAGGGCCCTAAGATAACACTACCAATTCCCCAGCATTTGCTGCATTCCAGGTATTGCTTTGTCCAGGTATGAATTGGACAACTCTTCCTTTGGAGGAGTTTATTTTCTGTACATGACAAAACTAGTTTGAGTTCCATCTTTTTAAAGCCAGGAACATGTTATTTCTACTTTCTGTGGCTGTCTTCTTCCCTTCTACCCAGCAGATTTGCAAAATGCCAAATGTAGTCCAGAGCAGCCCTGGCTTTACCCAGAGGACTCCGTAAGCCCCTGTTTTTGGCAGTGAATTATCCCTCTGAAAGCTACTCTTGCACAAGTTCATCCTTCCCTCTGCCAGTATCCTTCCTCTATTCAGGTGTGTTGCAACAGCATCAGGCATGGAGGCAGAAGGGTAGAGAGAGTTGGGTGGCTGAGCACACTGTCGCTGTCCCAGTGCCTGACTGCTCACCCTGGATGGGACAGGTGAGGGTGCACTGGCAGTGCTGCCATCAGGGATGTGTGGAACCGCTTGCTCAAGGGGCTTGGAGGGCTGAAAACCAGGCAGGTGGCAGGGGAGCCCTGCCAGGGCCATCTGGCTGCTGTTGGATGTGATTTTAGGGTGTTTTTAATCGCGGTGCGCTGCACCCCTGTGCGTGCCTGCTCGCTGCCGCTGAGCTGGTCATTTGATAGCTCCTCGGGAGCTCCTGGGAGGCCTAAAATGGAGCAGTGCCGGATTAGATGTACCCAGTGCCCTTGGTGAGCTCCGCGGAGATACGATCCTCGATCCTCGCCCTCCCGCCTCCGACCTGCTGGCGCCCAGTGCCGTCGCCACAGCAACGGGGAGAAGCAGCCCATCCGCATGGAAACGGCCTTGCTGTGCCCGCCAGAGCCTGGGGAGAGCGCTTCAAACGGCCAGCTCGGCCAGGTGAGGGGCACCGGCACCTCTGCGGCGACCAGCAGGCAGCCTTGGCCCGAGCTGCGGGGCTGAACACGCATCCTGTGGGTTATTGCAGTGCTGGCACTGTCCCTGTGTGTGGGACTTCATCCCAAAGCACTGGCACTGCCCCCAGTGCAGAGCCAGCACGTGCTCTGTTGTCTCTGACTGTGATGGATAATTTTCATTGCTGCTGCTGCCCTATTTTTTTGGGGCTGGTCGTGAAGTCAGGGTAAGGTCCTGATTATCTGTGCTGATACCTGCAGCAG